CGATACAACATAATCCAAATGGAATGAAAACAAATTTTTAGCGAATGATGGACAATGTCATCACAGAGGCTGAAAAGACTTGCGACAAATGAAATGGGTTTCTATGGAAGGAGGAGGAGGAGGCTGAGAATATTATGGACTGAAATTGTGAGCAACGACGAAGGACGTATACTTTGGATGAGAAAAAGTTGAAATTTATAAAGCACATTATAAAGAAGGAAGGTTTAGAAAAATCGACACTCACAGGACGTAGAAGAGACAAAGGAAAGCAATGAATAAACGCCCTAACGAGCTTGTTTAAGTGGTTAACAGTGATTTGGCAAGATAGCAAAGACAGACCACTAAAATTTACAAAGGTCAGAAGGGTGTGGAGAGTCATAATGGCTTACGTCCCGAAGGGACACGGCGCACAGAAGAAGAATAAGGAAAATAAGAACGTTTTCTACAAGAGCACACATATTTTGATTAAATACGATTTATGTACAAGCCGTAAGACAGAAAGAATATGCTTTAGACCGTAAGTTATGGTAAATTGACAGAAAAATGGCCAAAGATATAGTATAAATTCAAGAGAACGTAAGTTTTAGTTGTTCAAACGATATAAGGTGACGATTTTGGTTCGTTACGAAGATGACACAGTGTTGATAGCAGACACGGAAAAGAAATTAAAAAACCTCTTACAGAAGATAGCGAAGGACAGCGAGAAGAATGGACTAAGCATTAACTATAAGAAAACAGAATGCATGGCCAACAGTAAAAGGAAAAATACGATTTGCAGGTCGGGGACACAAAATCAAGCAGGTGCGGAAATTTAAATATCTGGGAAGTGTTTTGACAGAGGACGATAAGTGTGACACTGAGATCCGTAGACGTATTAGGATGGCCAAAGGACACATTCCAAACGCTGGGCAGGGTACTGCGTGACAGGAGGATTTGTTTGGTAACAAAGAAAAGAGTACTGAGCTGCTACGTCACATCGGTCCTCATTTACGGCAGCGAATGTTGGATGGTCTCCTCAAGGATAAAGAAAAGACTCGAGGCAACGGAAGTATGGTTCTACAGAAGGATGCTGGGGATATCATGGACCGAGCTTGTGAGTAGCGATGAGGTTTTGGAGAGGAAACAAACAAGGAGGAAGCTTATACCTAACAGCAGGAAGAGGCAGCTGAAATTTCTGGGACACGTAATGAGAAAAGAAGGGCTTGGAGAATCTGATACTCACAGGTCGAATAGAAAAACAAGGGAAAGCAACGTATGACATACCTGCCGCACTTAAGCAAGTGGATGACAGAACATGACCTGGGGGAAGTAGTAAAAGGAGAAAATATATTGAGAGGGGATAGGAGGAAGTGGAGAGCCATGATCGCCTACGTCCTGAAGGGACACGGCACATAAAACGAAAAAAAATCTAGATAAAATAAGTTTCCAGTCATCTCAAATATGACAACATCAAAATTTAATCCTGGTGCAAATAGTCAACTGCTAGTAGCATACTAAAACAGTGACTAGTGACACTTTTAGAGGTTTCCAATTGCAGGATCAAGTGAAAAAGCTAAAGAATTTTCTCTGATAATATATGGCAACATTAAAAAAGAATATTCGCTGATAAAAAAGCCTTTTAGACACACACTTTAGAGTTCTTTATTACATTAAGGAGTGTTTCGTTTATTTTTTTATTTTCCGAATGTTGTCTATGATGTTTTTTTGTTTGTTTTCGTAAATATAGGATCATATAGTTGAAAGGCAGACAATGTGAAATGGGAAACAATTTAGAAAACGAGTAGAAACAGATAAAACGAACTAAGTAATCGGATAAAAAAAGAGAATGTTTGTAAGGATTTATTTGCCTTTTCCGAAAGGTAAATTTGTTACACTACAGATATTCAATATGGAGGCCCAGACATTTTCACATATAATAGATGTGTTCAGAAATTTCCTGAGTTTTCCCATTAGTTTTCTTAATCATTCGACGCAAGGCAATAAAGCCACTAAGACGCAAGGGGTTATTGAGTGAGAGAAAATATGAGGAAAAATACTTTTAAAGAGAAAGAAAGAATATAAAAGAACAGCTATTAAGAAGATAAAAGATAACGATTGAAATTGTATTTAAAATTTTGAAAATCAAATTTGACTAGAAAGCAAGAAACCGGAAGAATGCTCTACAAGTAAGAAATGTGATAGAAGAAACTGTTAGCATAGAACTTGCTGCTAATCTAGTAAAGCTTAAATTCATAACGCCTAGGTACCACAGAAGAAAATTCATCAGAATATTTCTAGAAAAAACACAGGGAAGTTAGTTTACAGCGGTGGGAAAATAACTGACCGAGATGCCAGATCAGAACCAATAACATTGCAGATTCTCGTGTTATAGGACCTTACCTATAATAACATAATAGACTATTCCATACGTAATAAATACTGCGCCTCAAGAAGAAGCAGAGAGTTCAGTCCGAAGTCGAGCGAACGGCTGACCGGCTGATCGGTTGAACTTTCTGCCTTCGGGCGGGGAGGAACCCGAACGAGGCTACGCCGAAGGGCGGAGTCTCTTTTGGGGAGGTAATACGGGTTCAAAGGGCATATTTTTGGTCGAGACCACGGGCTCGGATATCCCACGTTAAACCAGCCTTGTGCCACATGATGCCCTCGTGTGGGGGAGGGAGTGACTAAATACTGTTCAGTCTGAAGTCTGGAGTGAGGTCCGTCAGGAGTCTGTCAGTCAGTCAGAGCGAGCGAGTCAGTCAGTCGAGTCAGAGGCAGTTCGAAACAGAGTCGCGTTCAGACAATTACTACTAAACCTGATTGTTCGTACTAACACTTTCTACTTCTCTGTATATATTCCTGTTTGTAATATATCTGCGTTATTCCATTTCCGCCTTCGAGTTCTTCTTTATTGGTTCTACCTTGGACTATCACCGTCGTACAAGGAACCGGACCATAAAATTAAGTATCTCTAAATATTTATCAGAAACCCTAGACTAAATGTGGTTGCAACACTCTAAGCATAGACGAATGGTAGACTTATAAATATGTAAGATAAATTCTGGCGATTGTTTGATTCGTTTTTTACGGCTTATCAACCCGTTGCAGGTTATGTAAATTTCTGCTGGGGATAATAATGATTTTAGTCTTACAAGTTTTACGAATTAACCCATTAGAGTACAATTCCGAGCTGTTATATATTACACCATCCACACAAGCACCTGATATCGTCAAGCGGTCACTCACCTGACCAGGTTCGACGTTGCTTATCTTCGTGGATTGTACGAGAATCGATGTTTTAACGTCACATGGCTGTAAGCCCGCTGAACATTACATTCTTAAACTCTTCAAGTCAAGGATTTATTGTTATCTATCCCCCATATCCTCATAATCTTAAATTCTTACCACCTTTTGAATTCATATCACATACTTCATTTATCATAACCCTCTTAATATTTTTAAAATTGCTTACGGTTAAGCAACGTCGGGTTTGGTCAGTACCTAGATGGATGAACGATTACGAACACAAGGTGTTGTAAACTTGAATGTTCCGGTGGTGTGATGGATAATGGATTGGAATTCTTAATCAAAGAGCCGAGTTCCAATTCCAGTTGAGTTTGTTATATTCAATTACGTACAAATACCGTCGAGAAAGGTATGAATCCACCTCTTCTCCCCCCAGCTATGGGTTAATTAGTAAGACTTGTATCACTAAAATATTATTATATCCCACAAAATCTTTGGCGAATCTAAAAATATTTTTTGGCTTTAAATAACCAGCAAAGGGTTGATAAAGCATAGAAAACGAATTTAACAACTTTTTAACATTAACAATCCCCCTTGAGTGGTTCTCGAGCCTTGTAATGAGCGAATTGTAGTATTAAAATCACTATTAAGATTAATTTGAACCAAGATCAAAAAGATCCTCAAGAGCAGATGTCCCAGTGGATAAAAGCGTTGATTGGATTCAGTGACTTGACCCAAAGTGTTGTTGGATACTGCAGTGGTGAACAAAATCTTGGAGAGTTGAGATAACTGAGACATCCGGAAGAGGCATGGCACGTGGAACTAGAAAAATCTACTCTTATGGACGAAATAAAGGGTTCGGTTCGAAGTTCCAATCACCTGAAGAATGCCGGAGCGTACAACGGCTGAAACGTCGGCAATATGGCAACGAACAACAGGCCGAATAATATAAATAGTGTAAATAATTACAATACCTCATCTCAGATAAATAGATAGATATGGAAGATCAAAAGAAGGCAAAATTGCTGTGAGATCGTGTGAAAGTCAGCTTTGAAAATGTTGGCTTTTAACTGGCCTCAGCCATTGAATTCTGGTGCGGGAAATGATGATTTTCTAGCTATGCAGGTGGATCGTTCATGCCTGTAAGGTTGGTGCAACAGCGTCTTTTTACCTTCCTACTCTTTTCTATCGCAATTTCGACATTGTCTTACTGCACGAAATATCGAAAAACCTATACAGACTGAACTGTGTGGTGTAACCGTAAAAAAAAAAAAAATAACGTTGAATGTAAGTTTTCAGACAGCAAAGGCAAAAGCAGACGACAACACAATTGCGATAGACCTCTTTTGTTTTTGTCTTTCTTTTTATGTACGTCAGAGAGAAGATGATAATGGAAAGATTAAACTGTCTGGCGCACACAACAAACTCGCATCCACACGTATTGGTAGACTGAACTATATACTGGAAAAGAGCAAGAAATGATGAGAATGAGAGAGGCACTATTAAAGGGAAATAGAATGAGAGGTACTGTGAGAGGGGGATAGAGAGTTTGAGAGAGACAAACACAGAAAGCGGGAAATAGAGAGGCTGAGTGAGAGAGGGGCACAGAGACAGGGAAAATGGGTGACAGAGAGAGAGAGAAGGGCAGAGTGAGAGGGAAATTTAGTGGCTGTGAGAGAAGGACACAGAGAGACAGAGAGTTTGAGAGAGAAGGGCATAGTGAGAGAGAAACAGAGAGATTCAGAGAGGGGTGCAGAAAGAGGGAAATAGAGAGACTAAGAGAGAGTTACACAGAGAGTGAAATAGGCTGAGAGAGAGAGAGAGAGAGAGAGAGAGAGAGGAGCGCAGACAGAGGGGAATAAATAGGCTAAAAGAGAGTGGTACAATGGGAAGGAAATAGAGCTGAGAGAGAGAGAGAGGGGGGACAGAGAGTGGAAATAGAGTGACTGAAAGAGAGAGGGAGTACAGAGAGAGGGAAATAGGCTGAGAGAGAGAGGTAAATAAAGAGCCTGATAAACAGGGGCACAGAAAGAGGAAAAAAATGAGGCTTAGAGAGAGAGAGAGAGAGGGGGGACACAGTGGGAGGGAAATAAATAGGCTGAGAGGGAGTGGCACAGACAACGGGGATTAGAAAGGCTGAGAGGGAGAGAGAGAAAGAGAAAGTGCACAAAGAGAGGTAAATATAGTATCTGAGAGAGAGAGAGAGAGACAAAGAAAAGAATATAGAGAGGTTGAGAGAGAGAGAGAGAGAGAGAGAGAGGAACAGAGACAGAGGGCGAATAGAGAGGCGCAAAGAAAAGTAAATGGAGAAGTTGAGAAAGAGAGGGGGAATAGTGTGAGCTAAAATATCTGAGAGAGAGAGAGAGAGAGAGGGGCACATAGAAAGGGAAATAGAGCCTGAAAGAGGGGAACAGTGAGAGGGAATAAAAACTAAGAGAGAGGGGGAACAGTGAGAGGGAAATAGAGAAGCTGAGAGAGTGGACGTCGGCGCGAGGGAAATAGAGAAGCTGAGAGGGAGAGAGAGAGAGAGAAAGAAAGGGGAAGCACAGTGAGAAGCTAAGAGATAAAGAGAGAAGCACATTGAGAATAAAATAGAGAGACTGTAAAAGAGACAAGTGATAGAGGGAAGAAGATGACACTAAAAGTATAGACAAATAAATGCACCAAAAAAAAAATAAAAAATCGTATAGAGACTGATCGATTTCTGTTCTGCATTATTTCCTTTGGAATCAGCGGTTGATGAATCCAACTTCGTCACATATGCTTACCAAAATCAATTTTAAGAAAACACACGCTCACACACAAACACACACACATACACTCCCACCCACATATATATTTCAGCTGTCACGCACTGACCATTTGTCAAAAAATTGAATTTCAGGCACAACAATTTGTCTCTGACAAGAATGGATACTATAATATTCATTTTATTATAAACAATAACTTGATGATGAGATAAATATGTCGAAAGTACTTGGTAATAAAACCAATATGCATATATCCGGCAATTTTTCTCGTCTTTCAGTAATGACATCAAAAAACTTATCCGTGATTATGAAAGAATCTTAACGAAAATGAGTAGACGGAAGAAGTCTAAACTGTACAACGAAACATGTCTAAATGACATATAATATATATATATATACATATTTTATATATGCGCGGTGCTTATTGAAAGCATTCAGTATCAGTGATATATATATATGTATATATATATTAAAGACATTTTTTTTATGTTTAACGTTGTTATTTATAGATACAAGTATTTAAGCAAATGCTTGTGTTTATGATAAACAGTATTAAATAACATTTACCGGACTGAATGTCCGAGAAATTTTCATAGAAAATATTCATTCTTTGACAGGATTCGAACCTGCATCCTATACGGAACCGTCATTTACGCTGACGTGCCTTACCTCTGGGCCACAAAGAACCTTTTCGGTAGACAAGGTCGAATTTAATGCTTATAAACTTCAATCTTCCATGAATCTCGTACATTCATAACTGCTCTGGCGTATCAAATGTAAACAAATGACGTCATATATTAAGAAATGGACAAGGTCCGACAATTTATTTATTAAAGACATTTTTTTTTTTATTATATGATGTTTAACGTTGTTATTTATAGATACAAGTGGCCAAGAGGTAAGGCACGTCAGCGTAAATGACGGTTCCGTATAGGATGCAGGTTCGAATCCTGTCAAAGAACGAATATTTTCTATGAAAATTTCTCGGACATTCAGGACGGTAAATGTTATTTAATACTGTTTATCATAAACAGAGAATTTGCTTAAATACTTGTATCTATAAATAACAACGTTAAACATAAAAAAAAATGTCTTTAATAAATAAATTGTCGGACCTTGTCCATTTCTTTATATATATATATATATATATATATAGATCCATATGTTGCAGCACGCATGCATACGCAATTGAGTTGTAATCTTATTTCGACGTTGGGACTGTGTGTAGCAAAGTTTTTTTTTTCAACAAGGGGAGTGTTGGGGTGTGTTCTTGTCATCTTTCAGGTCGGTCGATAATGTTGTCAGATGAAACACGACTTCTTCACACATGCATACATTTATATATATATATTTTTTCTTTTTTTATCTGCCTGGGCTTTACATTATCACATTGCTTAAAGTGATATCTGTATGGGAATATAGCGGTGATGATAATTTTATTTTTAATGTTGATTGCTTGTGTTTTATAGACTATTACACTTATATTGATAATGCAAATAATAGGTATTCAAATTTGTAATAGTTTTAATATGATAAGCGTGAAACCTGTGGTTACAAACTCATATCCATTCAACTAAATATATATATATATATATATATATATATATATATATATATATATATATATATATATATATATATATGAAGAAATATACTCTAAGGTGTACTATATTTATGGAATAAAGTGCTCAATATCAGAGATAGAGCGTGTGTAAGTATAAAAGTGAATATAGAAGTCAACACTTAGAGGCGACAGTCACTGATGGCACATTAGATAAAGGCGTTGGTTAGATCCAGTGACAGGACCCAAAGAGTGTGAGTTCAATACCCGGTTAAGGCAGTGGAGAACTTTCAGAGAGAAATTAACAGGGGATAACTGATAACTGACATCCATTAAAACATGGCACGTGGAACTAGAACAGACTATCCCAGTGATCGAAATAAAGGGTTCAGTTCGACATTCCAACCACCTGAAGAAGGCCGGAGCGTACAACGGCCGAAACGTTGTAATAAATATGGCGACAAAGATGAGGACAATAGTCCGAATAATGTAAATAGTGTACATAATACCTCATCTCAGACGTATAGACAGATACTGTAGTATATGAGAGTTAATGAAAGTTGGGCGGTAACTTTGTTTTCAAAGCAATAGTAATAACAAATAAATTCGTATTAAAGAAATCCATGAATTCCTTACAAATCATATATATATATATATATATATATATATATATATATATATATATATATATATATATATATATATATATGTGTGTGTGTGTGTGTGTGTGTGTGTGTGTGTGTGTGATATAATAGGAAAACACTGTCAGATTGATGATCTGAAGTTCTTTAGTATTTTTGGTTTTATTTTCAAAAACAGTGCTCGATACATAAGTAGAGCTTAGATTATAATTATTTTTTGAAAAAAAATATGATTCCATCGCTCCACAGTAATTACTATGTTTCGAAACTGGTCGCCATTATTTAAGTTTAATTCCAATATTAAACCTTAAGTACTGGGTGACAGTTTCATCCTCAAGCATTGTTTTGGAATAACTATGGTATGGAATATTTTACTCATTTACAATTTTGAATGGAGATGTGGTCTGGGGTTTATTTTTTCTTTATCAATGGGTCACTGCTTTGATGGAAGTAGGGGTGTTTGTGACATGTCATGTTCTTGGAGTCATGTAAGGTTCGGTTAGGTTTTTTTCTAGCTACAATGGCTAATCTTATAAGAGTCCCTACTAAAACTCTAACTGATTGATGTAGTAGTTCTATTTTTCTTTTTTATTACTGTATGCTAAGACTTTAACTGACTAACATTGTAGTTCTAGTCCTTTTTGGTGCTTATTTATTTGTTGACGATTTCTTAAAAGGATTTTTAAGATTATGATTGGGTTGTGTTTTTAAATCTATGGCTTTTAGTGAACTTGTTCATAGATTTTGAAATTTTGAATTTTTTTTTCATTATAAAATGCTAATTATTTAAGGCGAGTATTTGATGATGTCGGCAAAAAACCGTTGTCTTCAGATTTTATTTTTAGTAGATACTCTTTCGTTTACCAACTTGCGTACACGAGAATTCTTTTTAATGAACCTATACTCTGTTACAAAAAAAAAAGTCTGATAATGTGTAAGCCAAAAGTACGTCGACATCGGTCAATTTATATACAAATTTTAACCGGAAACCAGGAAAATTACTCGAAATCTAGAAAAATGAACAAAACATTCTTATCAAATAACTTCCTTTGATTATGAAGTCTACTTCATCACAGATGAAGCAGACTTCTTTTTCTATGTATCGTGTCTATTCAGAACATGGGGATTCATGGCTCACCACAACTTCCTATCCTTTGTAACTATTTGTCTTTTTACTATTCCCCACTCCCCGTTTTTGATCCAGTTATTTAAATAATTTTGTTTGAATATTTTGTTTTTCATTTATTTCTTAAAGAGCCATATAATTTACCGACTATAAAATTGTGAAAGACTAACTTTTAACTCACACTGTTTGTCAAGAGCCTTGTTAAATTACATTTGCCTTTTTTTTAAGCATTCCCCCCCCCCACCAAGCAAGGGGGAGTGCCACTAGCCCACAAGGGGTTACAGAGAGTGGGAGCAAGAGTAAAGAGGCGTGAGAGAGGAAAGAATGAAGACGGGGAATAGATCAAAGCATCTGAAGAAGTCGATTGACCTTGCATTTGAATATTTGGAGATTATGTCTATCAGGGAAGTAAGTAAGAGGAAGGGAGTTCCACAGACGGCAAGTGCGAGAAATGAAGCTACTGGAGTAGAAGAGGCAGCTATATTGAACCGTTTCGACAGTGAAAGTGTGGGACTCAGATGCCAATCTTAGTAGCACACACAAATTCATGCAGTTTGGGAAGCAGCGAAAGTTGCTAGAAAATATCATGTGTTTTATGGCAACATTGTAGCAAACTTAAATGTATCGAATATAACGATTTTAAAGCTGGGGTCAGAACTTCTTAGCGTAGACCATTTTGATTGGTTGGTGGATCTGATTATAGACCACAAATTTTGCTGCTGTCTCCTCCCTCTTCTCTCCTCCTTATTCGTCCTTTTCTCTGAAAAGAGAATCTATCTTGTGTCTTTCATTCTTACCCTTTTTCTCCTTTTTTTACTTTTTTGCGGGAATAGAGGTTGTATGTGGTTTTAAATCTCAATAAATTGTCTACTAACCAGTCATTTACTAACGCCTGATGAGATGTTTTAATACTGATCGAAATATGATTGCATTTATGTAGCGTTTATTAACATGTTGATGTGATATCCTAAAATAAAGTATATATATATATATATATATATATATATATATATATATATATATATATATATATAATAAAAAAAAGGCTTAAACACTAATATTCCATAGTCATAATTTATTCCATTGGAATCGTAAATACGATCCAATTCATCAGACCTACAAATTCTAAAGGAAAACAGAAAAAAACAACTCCGGAAATAAAAATAGAATTTAGAGAGAGTGTAAGTATGAGGGGGAGGGAGATTAAACCTTAACAGAGAGAATATATATGTGTGTGTGTGTGTGTGTGTATTTAGGCAGTATATTTTCATTCAAACAGGTTTGGTTAAATATGTCAATTTATTTTCGTTGTAATCCTTTCAAGTTCTCGGCTTAATTTCTTGGTAGATGTAGAAAAGTGATTACGAAAAATACCAAAATTTCTTTTCAGATAGTTCTTATTTTCCCGAGTTCTTCTCATCTGAGACCATCTTCGGGGGAAGGGGTTGCAGGTTTTACTACGACACTGATAACAAAAAGTCTTACGCTATATTTGGATATGCA